AAAAAAAATTATATCGATAAGTTTTACAGTATTAGTATCAATCGCTTTTTGCATATCGGTATTTAATTTTAAATTTCAGTATATATTTTAAATTCCGGTACGTAACTGATCTTTGGGTGACGCTAGGGAGGTTCCCAAAAATTGCTTGCGCAGTTCTGCAGTTATGTCGGAAATACAAATACGTACATCAAAAGTCCGAAGATTATTAATATTTAGACATGTCGGACATTTTGAGGTAGTACAAGAGTGAGATTTTTAAAGGACCCCAAAAAGTGAACAAGGAAATAAAAGGATAGAAAGACCGTGTGCTAAAAAGAACAATATTTTCCGAAGTCTCTCGAACAAACCGATCTAATCTTCTTATGATGGCCATGTAACCTTAAATTATAATTTGCCAATAAAATGCAACTCGCAGGCAAATTTGCCTGCGAAACGGTGTAAGAGATAATTTCGCGTTTACTGATTTTATTTAGAACGAAAGTGAAAAAAAATTTTTATTTATTTATTTATTTATTTATTTCTCATGCTCTTTATATAACTTTAGATCTATTACATCATTAACGTTAATTCCTTTGATCGATCAAATGATCAAACCACTGATCATGGTATCTTCGAATCAGCATTTTTTTGATGCAGAATTAACCCGTTTCAGTTTCAGGTTTTTCAATTGTTATCTGCATACAACATATTGCGAGCATCAACTTTCACCGAAGAACCGATTTTCATCGTGACAATAACGATAAGTATAGCCATTATTAGTTGAAAATTTAAAATAACCATTTATCTCATTAATTAAGTAATTAATTAAATTATACCTATCTGTTTCATGTGCTCGTTCGCAAAATATATTATCTGCATTCTCGATTAGAATCAATGACAGCATTTCCGGATTGCTTCCGGCATATCCTTAGTTATCGTATTGTTGACCTGAATATATTCAATTCCAAACTTTTGAAAAATACATGCCATAGAAGTTTGTTTTAATAGTGGTTTGTGATGTAGGTTGTTTATAATGGCTTGTTACATTGCAGTTTACTAAAACAGTTTGTTGTATAACAAATTTGTTATTTATATTTTAATGATCTTATAACACTTTATAATAATTGTTTTGTAATGGTTGTATAATGGTTTTGAATATTCGAATTAATTCAAATTCATACTTAATACGAATTAATTCGAATATTCAGTTATTCGAATATTCGATTCCAGCCTTTCGTAGTATATCCTATAAAATTATATAATTAAAAATAGATTCATTTAATTTGATAATATAAATATAATGTAAAACTTACAAAAATAGCATTTTCGCAACGTTCGGCTTTATTTTTATCAACTTTTTTACGCTGTTCTAATATTTCTAAGTATGTTTTAAGATTTGGTACTAAGATTGTCTTTATAACTTCACGCCCTAACGCTCCCAATGCCACTATACAGCCATAATGTGTACTTAAAGATTTTGTTTGATCAGTTAAAGCGGATAATAACGTCTTGATAACTCTTGGTTGTAAGGTATTATATTCCATTCCAAATCGATCACATATTTTGGCAAGTACGAGTGCGGCTGAATCGCGTATTCTCCAATGATATTCAGGATCGAGTCCAAATTTCTTTCTTACAACACAAGTTAATATCGCAGGAACCATGTGATGTAACTATCAATTATAAATGTGCCAAACATAAAAAGGTGCCAATTAGTTTCCTTTTTAAAATATTAATCAATGTGTGTAATGCTTACATAAGGTTCTAAGCGGAGACTAGTATTATTTATTAATGCATTAGTCATTTCCAATATTGATTCTAATACGGGGTTTTTTTTTATATTTTGTCCGATCTATAAAAGTAATGGTTATTGAATGGAACAACCCACAATAAAACTATATTAAAAGACTTTACCTGTTCACAAATAAATCGTACAAAATATGGAAGCAATTGTGCTAACCCAGTATCATGTTGAAGATTATAGAGAACAGATACTTTCATTTTACTATCCCCTCCTTTTATGGTCTTTGTGACCTTATCATAAAACACCTTCAATTCTTGAGAGATTACATGTTGAACTAAAGGTTTGAGTTCAATATCAGGTGTGCCGGTCACCACACCATTAGGAACTTGAACAATGGCATTTGAAGGTGCCTTTTTACGACTATTATCTGGTATAGTATCTAATATGAAAAAAAGAATAAGTATACAAAAATTACATTATTTATAGATGAATAATCCATACCTTCGATAGGTGGGGGAGGGTTATGAGGTATTGCTGGCTGGACACCTTCTACAGCAAGCCAGTGAGCTTTATATGAAAATTTGAAGAAGATGCATATTATATACCTATAAATATCAATCGAATTTCAAAAAAATAAACTTGATAAGCCTACCAGTAAATGTGACTTCCGCAGGTAATTTTGGCATAGGCGAGGCAATAAGGTTTTCAAATTCATATTCATCATCATCCATATATAACAATTCTTGTTGACCTGTTACTAGAGTGCGTTGAAATTTGAAATTGTCATTTAAAGTAAATCCGTATAGCGGCTATATACAGGAAGATTTGAGAGATGATTTATAGTACAAAGCAAATATATTGATAAATTTTAATTGAAACAACATTAAATGATTGATCTTACATCTACATTAACAACGCGAAGAGCATTATTTATGTCTTCGCCAGTAAGCCTTGTACGTTTCGAGTGACGCATAAACTTATTTGCTTCCTGTACGGAAATTAATATTATAGTAAATCAACCTGCATTTTATATTTCCAACTATTGAAACATACTCTTTACCTGTATAATCTCATGAATTCTATACTCGGCATCAAGGGCTAAGGCAGCCGCTGCGTTGTCCTTAAGATTTGTAATTCCGATCGAATCAGCCGTATTCTGAGTAATTAAAGATTGAAAATGGAAAGACTTATTAGAAAATAGTAAAATGGTGAATGTCATGAGAGCAATAATAAAACCTTAATTGTATCTTTAGGAAAAATTTTGTCCATTTTTTGTTCGTTTTGTCATGTAAAAGATAAACCCAATTTTTATGAATGTTATGCCTAAGTACGTGTAAGCTGGCACGCCAAATACGGGGTTTTTTAAAGCGGGGTAAGTCAATTAAATCGACGATTCAGGGTTATGCAAACCAATTGATAGTTATATATATAATAAGTGTCACTAAGAAAAATCAGTATTTGCAGTCAACTAAAATTTTGCTTTTTTAATTCTAGTTACTAACTCCAGTGTCTGAAATTAGGTTGCGGAGCTTGCGGACCGTAAATGATTTATAAGTTCCCGCCTCAACAACTCTAAAATCACCAGTCTAAAAAATGAATAAGTTCGAGAAACTAAAACAATCCAAAAATCGTCCGTAACTCGAAATTTGTTTATGAAATTGCCTTCGTGTATTAACAAAACGTTTTTCTTGCAAAATTTTGGTATAACTATAACTCTCTAAACCAACCTACTTGTAATACCGTAACCCTAACCTAATAGCGAAATGTTTTTTCTTAGAGAAATTTTTTTTCTTGTTTCGCAATAAGATCACATGATGTGCATCTATGAACAACAGTCGACTGGTGTGCAACATATAATATAACATGTACTAGCGGAATGATCTGGTATTGTAAAATCTTTTTTTTATATGTTGCACACCGGGTGAAGTATCAGTCGTGTAACATCGACGGTTCCTCCTATAGACCGATTCTTGCCTCATATGAACCAGTCTAAAAAATTTCACACATTATGTGGTCTTGCAAGGAGACCTTTTTGTTAGTACGCAGAAGGCAGTTTCAAAGACAAAATTTTGAGTTACGGACGATTTATGTTTCTTGACCTTTCAGACTATTTGTTCTTGCCTTAGGTGTCGATCAGCTTAAATTAGAGTTAGGCTAAGAGTTAGATTATGGTTTAGGCCAATTGATGTCGATCAGTTAATGCTGGTCAAACAATCAACACCTAAGGTGTCTCAGTTATCACTTGAGACAAAAATCAAACATATATGCTGGTTCTGCAAATAAATAAATGAGTAAATAATAAAATAAAAATCTTTTATTATTTCATCAAATAATAATAACATAATAGCAATATAATAACAATAATTTTTTTAAATATTAAGGTAAGTATTTGTAATTCAGAATTTTATTGATAGTACATTCAGCTAATGGTTGCATTACAACCACAGGAGGCAATCATAAAAAGAGTGTACAACTAGTTACTTATACAACTTTAGTCATTGTCTAATTTAAGTAGTTCGTCTGAAAGTTTTACACTAGTTGTCATACCTGGAACCTGCTTGTAGGTTCTTTATTTAACTATTCTGTTCTCATATCCACCTATCTACCTACATCTACCAAGATGTCCTGGTCGATACCGGTTCAAATATGCCATGGTCACTAAGTCTTTAAAGCAGTTCACTCATATGGGAAACCTTTGATCTTGTATTAAACCTTCCAGAATCTTCTGTATCTCATTCTTACAACTGATCTAGTATCACTATGACTAAGACTAATACTGACAATCAGGATATACTATTTAACTGCTATGCTCTTGTAGAGTTCATCCCAACCCCAGTACTGACTTCACAACATATCTCTACTACATTGGTATTCAATTCAAGTTCCATCAAGCTTCCAAACCAGATAGCTTGAAAAGGCAGGTCATAACTATACACCTTTGGTTTACATGTTTGCTGACATATAACTTTTTTCTCCAGAACCTGGAAATTCTAGCAGCCTGGTTGGTTTCATTTGGTCCCTCCTTAAAGGTCGGTTCTTTGACTGGCTTTACAAGTTCTAGCTCTGTTTCATAGGTCTAGTCTTTACAGTAATACCATCAAAAGTTTGGGT